TTTTAAGAAGAAGATGATAGATATAAAATTACTTTGGAAATAAATGCATACATTACATTTCAGCTTTTGGAATTTTCAAACAACCTCATCCTATGGCGTTTAAGACAGCAAAGCCATTTTATTTCTTACAGACATGTCTTTCTTGTGACCATATCTTAAGTGCTCAGACAAGCTGAACATCTAAAGCGGCACTTCTGATGGTGCTGAGAATCAACAACAGGCTAGTTTAAAATTTGGTATCACTGACTAAGCGTACAGTTCAGTCAGTGGAAAATGCTGCAGTCATGGTTCTTGACCAATTTAGAGAAAAATATTTTAGTGAGTGAGATCATTTTTCAACTTTTAAAAAAATGCTTGTGCATTTGTCTGTGAACGTTGAGCAGCCCTTTCTTGCCCTGGTGGTTGCCACAGTAACTCACTTCGTGTTTACAGTGTGGCAGATGATAGGGCAGTTCCCTTCCATTTGTAGGAAGGAGTGTGCAGTGCTGTGTCCCTGGCATCATGACAGATGGGATTGCAAGCTCCTGAGCAATGGAACTTAGAGTTGGAGCTGCATCCTTTCCCTTCATTCTGACCGGATGTTAGGCGCTGAATGTTTCTGAGTGTTATACTTCATTGTCCAATTTGCCAGTTTGGCAGCAATTTTTCTTTCTAATAAAAGAAGTTACTCAGATCGAGATTCCAGATGTGTCTAAGCTGCTTTTCTTAGGACAGTAGAAAGGTCCAACCTTTTCTTCTAAATACAATCAAAAGTAGTGTGGCTTTGCCTTTGTAATTTTACAAAGAGTTGTATTATGTAACTGGAAAATTGTCTCCCCAAGCATAGAGAGAATTTGTTAGCACAGAATACATCTTGGAAAATACTGATATAAAACTTCAATCCAAGAGAAAAACCTTTTAAGTTGCTGAAATGTAGTGGAGAGGAAGAAAGAAATTGCTGTTTTACATGATTAACCAAAATGCACTATAATGATATCAACTTGAAACAGATTCCTTAGAAGAACTGATAACTCTGTGATCAGAGTAAGTCATGTGTAGTGGAGCTAAATACTGCATGTACTTTCTCTGCAAAGGGTAGACATGCAGGGTGTGAGATAGGCAACAGAAGAGACAGCTCTTCTTGTCTTAGCCTGTATAATGGGAACTCCAGCTGCTTTAGCATAGTAAAGAATGGTGGGAAGGCCTTACTGTGGAATTAGTATTCATCATGCCTGCCTACCCTCTTATACTGCTCTGCAACACAGTTGTGGACTCCCTTCATGTAATGCTATTTCAATTTTGCCTCTCCTGTTCATAATTAACATAGCATCACTCATCAGCCAGCTTCAAAATGGAACACTCCTCAAGGGATTCCACTGACTATCCTCATTGCCTGTCTGAAGTGGATGGGTAAAGTTTAATTACAGATATTTAGTCTAAAGATATCCTTCTCATTTTCCATGTTCCCTCCAATGTCTCTACATCATACTATTTTCTCAGTCAGCCACAGTCCACCCATAGCGAAGAGCTCATGTCCAGTAAGAGTAATATCAGTGTTATTCGATATCAGTAAAAGTCATTGGCTGACATCTGATACTCCGGAACATTATTTCTAAACATTATTACTTGCATATGGTAATCATCTATTTGCATGTCTTCTTCACCTAACTGTAAGTTTCCAAAGGGCAGGATTTTGTCTTCCTTCTTCATAATGCCCCAAACGGTGGAGTACCTAATACAAAGTAAGTGTCCAAGCTTTCATTAACTGAATAGTGGATTTCAAATATCATCTGTCAGATTCTGAAAAAAAAGGAAGAAATTGCAGCAAGTGAGTAAAGTACCTAGATTTTTAATAGCCAGGTTAGATAACTAGTTAACTGTGAAATAACTGTACTCAGTATTCGTCTTTGCTTAAGCTGATAAAACACCAGCCTACCTGAGCATGTAGACATCATAGCAAAGCTGATGTCTCTAACCCCAACAGGAAAAGAGAGCCTAAGGTCGATTTTCTAGGCATTGGGGTATACTTCCTCTGGTCCCTCTGCTGACTCTTTCACAGTCCCTTCCAGAACCAGGGTCACGTAATTATGAGATGGCCATGCAGAGTTAGCTGAAGTAGTCAGCTGAGGAATGAGAAAAGATCAAATGATCTATCTTTGATTTTAACTTTGTCTCATAAATACCCCCCTGTAATCCGCTCAGGTCGCCACCCACCCTGAGCAACTGAATGCCACCAGCAGAGTGCTGTAACATCTGTCTTGAAGGAAGCTCAGGAGGTTGCCACAGCGGGGGATCTTTTCCATCACTTCTCTTGCGAAAACGGCCTTTTTCTCGCTGGTCTTCTTTCTCTCGTTTCCCCACCTGAAATGCTTCCTCCAGGCTTATTCTTTTTCCTTCTCTGAATCCTATAGGACCAGCTCAAATCCCATCTCCTTCCTGACCCTCCACAGAAAGCAGTCGTTGCTCCCTCTGGTGAACACCTGGGCAATTTGGCACCAATGCTGCTTGGCCTTTTGAATATTTTTCTTCATTTTGTTAATTATTTTTTCTCATTTATTTATTGTTCTTCTTGAGAGATAATGCCCTGGGTTTTTGTAATACCTGTAGCATCTTATTTCAGATATTTTTTAAATACTTATAATTTGGGAGAAAAGCATCTAAAAAGGAATTTGACTGAGGTAAATGAACTTAATAAAAATTATTACAGATATTATGAGAAAAATCTATAAGCATGTAATACTTTTTTAATACCTAAAACTATTTTAAATTATTTTCTTAATAAATAATTAAGAAATAGGTAGAGAAGTGTCTTTGACTTCCCCGTTGGACATAAGAAAATATTTCATATTCAGCAATGAATATGGATTACAAATATGCAAATGCAGAGATGAAGATTCTGTTATCTCATCTACATACAGTAGCCCAGAAATTCCAAACATGATCTATCTACTTGACCATCAAATCATATCCTTGATTCTAGGCAGAACCACTTACTGAGTCTTCTGGGCTAGCGGTTATGCATCCACCAAATGCACTTCTGGATCCAGACTAGTTTAAATGAGTTAGATGTTCTGGACCATTATCTTCTGATAAGCTCCATGTAGTTAAAATTTTAGAGATATAGTTCTTGCCTAGAAACCAACCTTTAAAAATGATAATGTAATAGAGGTGTAAATTTGACAAACAATGCCATTATGAAGATGAATATGACATTTTAAACTTTGGTCTTGGACTGTGGAATATTACTTTCTGGGTTGAAGAGATTCAAGAGGGGCTCATGCTGAATGTATTGTTAAAAAAAAAAAATTCATTTAAAGAGAAAAAAAAGATTACCCAACAAGCTTACCCCTTTCATTGCATTTCTGTTCTCTCCAGTCATATTCTGACATTATTATCTTCCCCTAGACTATCATATTGCTTTCATATTCTGACCTCCATATACCCATTCTAATTTACTCAATCAGGCAATAAGTATTTTTTTAGGGATTTGTATGTGCCAAGCACTCTCTGCTGGAATACTTAACTTTCTCATTTCAGAATGGCTGCTCTCCTGCACGATCATATTCAACAACTCTCCAACTTTACAAAATCAAATGTAAGCCTTCCTCCCTTTCCAATCATTGTTTTGTTGATATGCCCAACTGCTTCAATCAAAGTAAAAAATTCACTCATTTCTGTGATATATGTGTCAGTTTTCAGCATAATTCCCTGGGGCCTAGAACTATAAAATAAATCACTCTTCGAGGTAGAAGTTGTGTTCCTATCATAAATCCAACAATCTGAGAAAAGCATCTCAAAGTAGACAATATTAGAAGTGCTTTTTAAAAGTTCTTTTAAAAAAATGTTTGATAAAGTTGTGGAGGAAAGCACATAAGGAAGAAGGGCCTTAATTCAGAATTGGGACAAGGAAGTTAAACACAAGGAGAGGTCAGACTAAAGAAATCCAGAAACAACTGGGTGTTGGAAAATGAGAGCACTTGTCATAAATCTCTTTGGAAACAAACTCCAGGGTAAAATACAAAGTGAATAAGTTAAGACTCTCATACTGGAAACTTGCATATTTTGAAGGTTAGAGTTGTGAGAGGCATGATCATACCCAAAAAGAAGAAGAAAGAAGAATTTAGCATTCAAAAATGGGACACATTTTTCTTGAGCACCAACTGTATGCTGAGCATTGTACTTCTATGACAATCCAGGTAGCCTGAACTACCCATAATAGCCAACTCTGCTCCCTCATGAAGTAGTGCTAGTAAATTGTGTTACAATACAATGCCAATTCTCACTGTAAGCACAGGCGCCTGTCTGCCAGAATGAATTCCAAATTCACAATCAGGATCAAAATTAGGCCATATTAGCTGCTCTGTATTTTTAACCATTGTATTCAATTACCATCATGGAGCACTAATTTAGATAAGAAATAGAGCTACTTATTTATTTCATATGCATCTTCAGATTTTTGAATTATACATTAAACCAATCTATAACATCTATGTATGCTTTTCGCACACAGACAAAAAAGCATAAATGCCTCAGGGTGCATCTGCCTAAGAAGCAGATGGGAGAAAAAACAACCAAAACCCTTTTTCTACAGTTTCTATTAAAGTTCAAAGAAATATCATACTTTTATTTTTTTATTTTGTGTTTTTTAAGCATTTTATCTTATTTTATTATTAGTTTCAAGTATACAGTACATTGGTTAGACACTTATATAGTTTAATGATCCCCCTGATTACTCTGTCTTCCCTCTGGCTCTCTACGTAGCCATTACATTACTGCTGACTGCATTCCCTATGCTGTACTCTTCATTCCTGCGACCATCTCTCAGCTACTAAATATAATACTCTTGAAGGCTACAAAAATAAGGTAAAGATTATATGAAGCAAATAAATCAATAAAATCTATATCGAAAACCAGAATATTTTAATCTCAAAAAAATTGAGTTTCCCGAGACTTTGAAAAATGAGAAAGTGCACTTGGCAAAATTCTTAACTTGGATTTTTTTTGTTTGATTTTGTTTCTAGGTTCCAAATTCAGAGATGTGCAACTGATCCAAACAGTTATAAAAGCTTAGGAGACAGCTTTCGAATAATTTTCCGAACGGAAGGGTATGTATGTATGTATGTATGGTTCTTCACATATGGATTCTTATGTTCATGTAGGCATTTAAATATATTACTACATGACACATTTTATCATTTTGAATGAGATATTTTCTTAGTCTTACTTGGGGAAAATATTTAAAAGGGTACCTTCCTACTTTTTTGTGTTTTTCCTGATAATATGGTTGAAAACTAAATATGTAGATAATAGAAACTACCATAAAAAGGATATTAATAATCAGTTTGATGACTAGGGGACAATTTCTAATTTTTGCCATGAAATCTTTTTAGAATTCTCGTAACTTGGACTATCTGAACATAATAGTTCTTCATTTTGATTCTTAATGATAGTGCCCAAATGATTTCTTTGTTTGCATTTTGGTTGATGAATATTCAATCAAAACAGATCTATGTTATAAATTGACGTGTCAAATATATTATCATATCGATTAGATGATCAAATAAATAGAATATTTTGGTTACATAAGCTAAAATTATCTTTAATGTATAGCTTCAGTTAAAGATTGTATCCAGCATAATCTTCCAAAGGATATTAGATTAGCTTTTGGAAGTTGTTTACATAAGAGAATAGATTGCAAATAAAATAATAATCATACAAAAATGATAAGAGTAATAATAACAACTAGTATATATTTTAACCTCTACTATGAATTAGGAATTCTCCTTATAACTCTGTAATTCTATTAGGGTTCATTTCATTTGCACAGATGAAGAAACCAAAACTCAGAGTAGTTAGTAATTTTCACATACCTGGTAAGTAATAGAGCTGAGACTCTAATCTCCTAGCTGCTGTGGTTGGTTCACTACTACTCTTGGCAGATTGTACTGTGGATAGTGATCTGCTAATTGTTTATTTCAGTCAAACCTATATCATGTATTTCTTTCCAGGTCAGTATATTCTTTTTAACAACAGCATAGTAATTTATTTATCTACATGCTGCAATTTATTAAATTAATCCTTCTGTGGACCATTAGGTTGTTTCCAGATTTTCACTGTTTAAAAAAGAGTGCCATAAATAGTCTTACTGTTTTTGCATAGTCATGTACATATGTAAATGTTTCTATTAAAAAGTTGATAATTATGGATTTATAGGATCAGATATTACCAAAATGATCTTTCATAAAGTACATAATTATTTTATTCTCTTAGTATTTGAGAATTCTAATTTCTCACACTCTCTCAAACACTGGACGTTGTCAGTCCTTACTTGGTATATGTGTCACTCACATGCATTTCTTGTTCATAATCTAATAGGTGAAAAGTAAAACCAGTTTAATAGTATTCCTTTGATATAATTGGGATTGAGCATGCTTTTATATTACAAGGTATCATATTCTCATGAATTCTTTATTTGCGTCATTTGCCTATTTCTCTTAGATTAGATTTTTTATTGATTTGTAGGAGCTCAGAATATTATTATAGGTACTAATCCTTTGACTATTACATAGAATACAAATATTTTCCCAACTTGTCATTTGTCTTACAACTATAATGTCTTACATCTTTCATAAGTTTGTAATTTTTGAAGATTGTGATTTTTTTTATTATATCTGTCTCTTCTCCTTTGCAATATCTGATCTTGATGTCACATTTAAAAAGAAGGACATCCTCTAATCCCAAGATTATTTTCTTCTGGTATTTTTTACATTTAAATCTTTAATCCATGTGAGAAATTTGTTCATGTGCAGTTTGGTATATAGGAATCAAATTTTATTCTCAAATGGTTAGTCAATTGTCCGAACACAGATGTTGAAAAATCCATCCTTTACTCATTAAATGGAAATGCTAGCTTATTCACATATTAAATTTTCACATATACTTCATCTAATTTTTCTATTCTGTTTCTCCATTTCCAGTCTGTCTTATTTATCTTTGCATCTATTTCATACTGCTTTAATTATTTTATCTTTAGAGTACTATGGGAATATGTAAAAATGTGTCCTGCAGTATAAAATGTGAACTCTTTGTCTTGGTGTGCAGAGCCCTTTCTAATATGGTCTTCTCTTCTTCTTCTGGCTCACACCTCATGCACAGATCTTCTCTAGGAATAGCAAACGTTTGCAGCCCCCTGGTCGCTCACACTCTCATGGTTTTGCACACTATTCCCTATTCCTAGAGGACCAACCCTCTAATCCACACAAGAAACTACCCCGCTTCATTCAAGGGTGCCCTCAAGTTGCACCCTCCCTGACCGTCTTTTCTCTACCACATGCTTTCTTTATCAGTCTTTCTTTCTCTATATGCATATGCTATATAAAGTATACATGCATCACCCGGATTTATTGGGCTCAGTTTCTGTCTTCCCTCTCCCACCCCAAGAATACATTTACCTACTGGCCATGTCTCATTTACCTCTGTATTCCCAATGCCTGTGTTTGGCATTGAGTAGAGATGCTCAATAAGTGCACAGTGAACAAATGAATGAATGTCATCACACCAACGTCATAATGATGCATCATGAAACAGGGATGATAATTCTTGCTATAGAACACCCCCTCTGAAATTATGATAATGATCTTGATGCCTGATTAAATATTTTGAGGTCACCTAGCGATGTAGAGTCACCAAATTTTTGCCATTGCACTGGTGATGTGGTACCTAAGTGCCATACATTGATAATATACCTCTTTTATAACAATTGGGATCAAAGTCATGTTCATTTTATGCAAATTATATATAAAGTCAAAGAAATCATAGTGTATTATATCGTCATAAAAGTGTCCCTTTCCGGTAAAACGGTAGTGTCAGCCTTGCCAAGTTCTGTAAGCTGTAACAGATATCTCTGAATTGGATGTGGGAGTTCCTTAGCCAGCCTCTTCATTTCATGTGTGTTTTCAGAAGAATTTGATGTTTCTGCTTTGATATCAAGTAATGTAACAAACATACAGTATGTGTGGTCCTTGCATAGTAAAATTGGCCTTTTCCTAGACTGTATGTATAATTGCTTCTAGAGCAAATTGACATTTTTCCTGTAATGACTTTAGATCTGGACATATTGTTAGCGAAAAGCCAGAGAACTCCATTCTTAGAGATGGAAATATTTGTAAAAATATAAAAGAAAAAGCTGCATGTTATTTTTGATGCAGAGTAAGAGCATTTCGTTGCCTTAGGTTAAAAAAAAAAAGAAAACCTTTAAACACATACTGTGTTGAATTTTTTTTTTCCTGGTAAAAGCAGTTCCTTTTGATTTTCTTATTTGGCTTTTAGAATACAATGAGTGAAAAGAAAATGTTTTTCTCAGGTGCATAGAGGCCAGTTTGGTCTGTGGCCTGCCAAAAAGATAGCACTAGTCAATTTGACTATTAGCATATTTAGAAGAAGTCGTATCTCCTGGTTTTTCCTAGCTCTCCCAAGTTAAACGTTGTAAAGCTAGTCCTTTTCTGTTGTTTAAAAACATTAAACTGTTAATACACTTAGAATCTGCACAGATATCCCATTCCCCTCTGTAAGCAAGTGAAAACTGCATCATCACTCTTAGAGAGGCGATTCCCCTCCTCCCTGCCCAGAATTCACCTGTTTCTAAGAGACAAGGCTCAATCACTGAGTCCAAAACACTTTACTGTTTCTAAGATTCTTTTTCTTCTTAAAAGCGTAGATATGTTGTACTTTTATTAAAGACATAGTTTTTTAACCCAGCTTTATAGAAGTGAAATTAAAGTTTAAAATTGCCCTCCAAATTCTGAGTAAGGATTTCCATAACATGAAATCATTATATTTATTTAATTAGCTTTCGCCAAAAAGGCCATCACTGTTTTCTCTAACAGAGAAGAGAGAACTCAGAAGAAAGGAATTCATCACTATTGAGAATACCTCCATCGTCAACAAAATTCTTCATCTTTCTCTGGTTTGACAAGAACTGACAGGTCCATCTACTGTAATTGTGAGCCCAGAAAGACAAAGATTTAGCTTAGGTAATTAGGTGCCTTTAAAACCAATAAGGTTCATTTTGTACTCTTCCCACAAAGAGCAGCTGATATCTCTGTTTACCGTGTGTCCATGCATCATGCTTCACTTCCTTTTGCCTCCTAGTATCTCATGGACATTTTCCTAATCTCTTTTGTACTTGTCATTCCTTTAAGGGAGTGATTGAGATGTTCACAGATAGTAAGAAGATTATAAATTATGCTAATAAAAACTGGAACTGCCCACCCCCTTACTCTTCTTCCTCTGAAAGTGCCTAGTGGCCATTCTTCCCGAAATAAAGAGAAAAAAAAAAGTGTTAAATAGAGCTTAAGAAATTCTGAGAACATACATAAAGACAAGAAATTAACGTTTATTTTCTTCAGTGTACCAAGCACTGCGCTAGAGACTTTTTCATATGTTTGTCTCAACACAGCACTGTTCTCAATACAACACAGCATCACATGTGTATTTTGTATGAGGTAACTAAAGATCTGAGAAGTTAAATAATTTGCCCAAAGTCACACAAGTATGAGCGGCATAGCATAGTTTTTTTTATTACCTATATCACCTTTCACTGAACAAAATTTGTTATTTATTGAATGAAAACAAGACAATATGGAAGTAGTGGCTGTAAACCCCTAATTTTCAAATACCTTTGATATACGCCTTCCCTCGAAACATATAACAATTTCAAGTAGCTTTTATCTCTTCCTTCAGGTAAAGTCTGTAAATTCTGAGAGACCAGTATATGTTCAGTCAACCAAATCTTGTTAATTCTGAGGCAGCACCACAAACGAAAGACTCAAGACTCTTGCTCTAGTCGTTGCCCAGATAGCTCTGTATCTCTGATAAGTTCATGGTTTTTCTGTCAGTCTACTTTCATCTTGCAAGTTCCGTAGTTTTCTTATGAGAAAAGTTCTTGGAGCCCAAGGCAAATAACTAGGAAACAACTAGGTCAGATTAAACTCCATTTCAAATGAGAAACATGTTGATTGCTGGTGCCTTCTACTTTCTGAATAGTATTCTTCAGAAAGTAGAAAATATGTGGTTGCATTTGGGGGGCATTTGAACTGTTTTGTTT